TTCAACAAGTGGCACTAACTGAAGACCCTCAACTTCCAACAAGTAGCACTGACTGAACACCACCATCTTTCAACAAGTGGCACTAACTGAAGGCCCTCAACTTCCAACAAGTAGCACTAACTGAAGACCCACATCTTTCAACAAGTGGCCCTAACTGAATGCCACCATCTTTCAACAAGTGGCACTAACTGAAGGCCCTCAACTTCCAACAAGTAGCAGTAACTGAAGACCCTCAACTTCCAACAAGTAGCACTGACTGAAGACCCTCATCTTTCAACAAGTGGCACCAAGAAAAACCCCCTCACATAAGTAACTGTAATATTAACTTTGAACAAGTGGCAGTAACTGAAAGCTCTCAACTTTCAACAAGTGGCAGTAACTGAAGGCCCACAAGTGACACCAACAAAAGCCCTCAAGCAAATAACTGTAATATTAACTTTGAACAAGCAGCAGACAATCCTAAGAGTTACAGAAAATCTGTTAAATGTCACCTAGTGGCACTACTTGAAAATACTCAGGTATTTAAACACAGAATTCTCACAATAACAGGAAAACTGACAGACACACTAACAGAACATCACCATCAGCTATCACCGAGTAAAATTACACGAACATTTTTTACAATATATGATCTAATACAGCCTGCTCTAATAGCAAGTACCCCCAGCTGGTTTGTCATAAACAGAACCTGTGAAAATATTTATCTATTACTTAAGAGTGAAACAGTCTTGGTAACAAGCTTTAGAAGTTAACAGTTTTGACTTTCAGACCAAACTCTCTCACCTCAACACCCAAGATAAAAAAAAAAACCACAATGAAGTACCACACTTGTTAAGCTTTAGACTTTTCTGTTTAATTTTCACAATCCCACAAACACATAATGAAACCTCATTTTTGAAGCCCTAGGTTTCTTTTACGGTTATAAACACATACAAAAGCCATGTTTATCTTAAGCTCTATATTTTTTTGACTGTTTGCACTATCCTATAAACACATTTATAAAATAACTATTTCTTAAGCTCTAGATTTCCAGGGAGTTAAGTTTGCACTATTTTATAACCACTTAGAGTAACCACAAATTCTAGATTTCTTCTGGACTAACTTCTCACTATCCTACAAGTACACGAGAACCTATATTTGCAAGTACTGAAAATTCACACCTAAGTCCTTTCCTCACTGGCAGCAAGCTTGTGAAAAAACCACCGTGCAGTACAAAATCATATTAAAAGGAAGTGATAAAATCAAGTTGAAATATTTTGTATTGGTTCCATCCTGACTAAAACTGAGTACCCAGTAACTCTTCCACACGTAGATGTTACATTTCACACTACCCTATAAGTATATAGAATGACTATAAAGTGAATCAAGTTTAGTAAATGTTGCTACCAAGTTTTACACATCTACAGACAAGCAAACTTGAGTAACTGACCAGAAAAGATATACATACAGCAACCCCCCTTTCCATCAGCTGTTATATGGCTATGGTTATCACACTATCCTGTAAGTATATAGAATGACTATAAAGTATAGTGTGATAACCATAGCCATATAACAGCTGATGGAAGGGAGGGTTGCTGTATGTATATCGTTTCTGGTCAGTTACTCAAGTTTGCTTGTCTGTAGATGTGTAAAATTTGGTAGCAACATTTACTAAACTTGATTCCGTATCATATGAGCAAGAAGCTTTTTTAGCTTCAAAAACAACCCCATCTTCTTCTCCCTGCTTCAAATACCCATACCCAGCACTATTGTGGTAAAACCATACCTTCTGTTAATCCCAAACATTTATGTTTCACTATTCCTGAAACAATACAAGCATATTGACTGACTAAACTGTCCAGATTCTTCAGTGCAAACATCTTTCTGTTCTCCAGCTGCACAGCTTAAGGTCTATAACTTATTCCTATCCAAGACAATGATTAATAATAATGTAGTGTAATCAGAAAACACTTATTCATTTTCTGATACTATACTCCCTTTTTTGATAACATAAGATATATTTTTTGTAATTCATAGATTTCAAAAAAAGCTCACAGACTTGCTCAAACAATAAAGGTTTAATGTAGATAATACAAGTCTAGTAATTTTTTAGATCACCACTTTCATTCAAAACCACATTATCTCTATATTAACAACACAGAGTCAACTTTAACAAATAATTTATTAATGCAATAAATAATTCAGAACATGTCCAAGTACAAACAATACTTAAAAAACTACATCTAAATATTTTGACAAAATATTACAAACCAGTTACTTTTGACTGTCAATACAGAAAACTTGATCAAGTAATGAAACTCAATATTAGAGTAATATAGCTAATTATTCTTCTAGAAGCATGAGTGTGGTTTTGATTTTGGAATGTTAGTATTTTAATGAAACGTACTTACACTAGTAAGTCACACATCAGAAAATAACATTAAAATAGGATCCCACTAGACTGTACAAAGCTATACTGAGTGGGCAGGTAGCTGATGAACTAGAGGTAGCTACAAGTCTGGAAAAAATCTCTAAATATCAAGAAACACTAGATAGTAATTTAAACACAACCTGTCAGTGGCCAAGAAGTAGGAAGTCTGGGCAATATCCTTGCTTGCTGTGTACAGGCGTTCCAGACAAACCGGACACAGGCAGGTCAGAGGACACCGAGAGGAAGGGGAAAAAAAATGTTAGACCACCAAACAACTGTGATCTAACACTAGAAACTACTTTGATAAACATTTGTTAGCTCTTTGAACTAGTGGTATCATATACATTATTTCCAATATACAAAAAGTACTCTATATATTAATAAAAACCTAGAAGGAATGGCTTTAATAAAATATGTATGACATTAGAATACAAAATACACTATTACATATCTTCAGACTTATTTTTTTAAGTGAAAAAGTTTGCAAGATAGACGTATGATACACATTACTAAGTTTTCAAAAAACAAATAATTATTTGTTTGTTACAAGTATTATCCACTTTAAATATTTATATTTCACTGTAACAAGAAAAGAAAACTTGATAGTTCTATTTACTTCATCTCTTACATCTAAGTCAACTTTTTTCTTCATATAATATGGAACAAATTCATATATTACACGTTCATGATGACTCAGTTCAGGAGTTATGAATATTTTTTATATCACATGTAAAAGATACAAAATGTTATCTCTCATGTTATAATGCAACAGCTTAGGTGTCTATAATTCCTTCATTTTACAAAAGTACAAAAACATTCAAACTATGAAGTGTAGTTTTCCTTTCATGCAATTTTTTAAAAATATTCGAATGAATTCATAATGATAAGCATAAACAAATCCATGAAGTTCAGTCCATTACATCCAGTAACTACACTACAGTGTTGTGTCATGAACTTTTTCATATCACAAAAATACTGGTTGTGAAAGAAACACTGAACTAAGTTTCAGTAACTCCATCATAGTGTAGTGTCATGAACTCTCTTGCATCAAAATAATAGTCATGAAAGAAACACCACTGAACTAACTTCCAATAACTCCATCATAGTGTAGTGTCATGAACTCTCTTGTATCGAAATAAGTCATGAAAGAAACACCACTGAACTAACTTCCAATAACTCCACCATAGTATAGTGTCATGAACTCTCTTGTATCAAAATAAGTCATGAAAGAAACACTGAACTAAGTTTCAGTAACTCCATCATAGTGTAGTGTCATGAACTCTCTTGCATCAAAATAAAGTCATGAAAGAAACACCGCTGAACTAACTTCCAATAACTCCATCATAGTGTAGTGTCATGAACTCTCTTGTATCAAAATAACAGTCATGAAAGAAACACCACTGAACTAAGTTCCAGTAACTCCATCATAGTGTAGTGTCATGAACTCTCTTGTATCAAAATAACAGTCATGAAAGAAACACCACTGAACTAAGTTCCAATAACTCCCCAGTAGTGTAGTGTCATGAACTCTCTTGTATCAAAATAACAGTCATGAAAGAAACACCACTGAACTAAGTTCCAAT